GAGAGAGAGAGAGAGAGAGAGAGAGAGAGAGAGAGAGAGAGAGAGAATGGTTCAGGTCTTGTGGACAGAGGCATATCTAGAGAGATGAGAGAGGAAGGGAGCTGGCTGGGATGGCTGAGCTGAACCCTTGATGAGCAACAACACACAGGAAAGCAAGTCCTGCACTTTGGGTAGCACAGCAGAGATCACCCTGTTGATGAGAGCACAGGTGAGCCAACCCTGAGGAAGTGACCATGGGAGACCTAGCCCCACCCCTCATCTCCCGCATGGCAATGTAGGCTGGGGAGAGGTGCCCTCCCTATGCCCCTGCCTATCAACATCTAAGGCAGGTGGGAAAGTTGACCTTGACGTAACAAGAGTGGGAGAGCTACCCCTGCTTTCCACAACCTGCAACACTCGGGAGAACAGGCCCTGCTCACCAGGGCAACACAACAGAGCCAACCAACCCTGTTAGGGGAGGTATAGGTGAGCAGCCAGCCCCAAAGTTGTGAGCATTGGAGAGCTCTCCCCATTTTTCATCTGTCTTGTGGCAGCATGGGTGGGGAGAGTTGCCCTTCACCCTCCACACCCATCAACATCTGGCAGGTGGGAGAACCGGCCCTGTGATCCTAAGAGTGGGCGAGCCAACCCTGTCAGCGTAGGTGTGGGTGAGTCAGTCCCGAAGTTGTAAGCATGGGAGAGCTGTCCCCATTTCACATCTGGTGAATCAACCCTATAGCTGCCCAGATCCAGACTCAAGGATATGCTTGGCCTGCCCCATCATCCACCCCATCTATGATCTGCGGGAGCATGTAAAGGGACCTGACCTGCAGACCCAAAGTTACAGGGTTTCCACAAAACAGGGCAACAGCAGGATATCCAAAGAGGAGCCCCAACAAGGGCCCAGCATCAGTAGGTTAGTAGAAACCAGGGACCTCGAACCAGACCAATGACTCTTTGCAATAAACACTTGCAGGTAAAAATATATGGACAAAGGGGTTCACAGTGTGACTCACAGTGTCACACTGCAACTTCCATGACGAGATTCTTAAGTTTTCCCTTTTTGTTTTATTTTATTTTACTATTTTTATTTTTCCTTTTTTCTCTTAAATTTTGTTTTATTTGTGTGTGTTTTATTTGGGGTGTGCGGCTGTGGAGGGCAGATGAGAAGGGACAGAGTAATAAGCAGGATCAAGATACATGATGTAAAAGAGACATAGTATAAATACAATTAAAAAACAAAACAAAAAATTCTATAAATAGCAAAAAAATTAAAAATACTTAAAGAGTAGAAGTCAGGTCTGTGAATTCTAGTTAAATTCTTCCTACGAATTTGATTCTATAAAATAATGTTGAAAAGCAAAACTTATCACAACCAGGAAAGCCCATGTATGTATTTAAAACTTCCTAAATTTCTAGTACTTATGCTGTATATTGTATTAAGCCCATTTAAAGCATACATGTTAGCTTCCTTAAGCTAATGTTTTTACAAGTTCATAACCATCATAAAATACATAGGTTTTCAGAATAAATACCCTTTATGCCTATCAAAAAAAGAGATAAGTGGAAGATGGGAGAGGAAGATATTAACTTAACGTCACCTTCCAACCTTCATACACATGTATAGGCACCAGCATGCTCACACACGCACACACACACACACACACACACACACACACGCACACAAACACTATATACATACACAAAATTCTTTAAATTTAAGAAAAAGAATACTAGCAAAATTGTCTGAAGTAACCCATAAATATAAAACAATACTAACCACATAAATTACAATATAGTAAAAGAATAGGATATTATATAACTGCCAAAAATACATTCTGGAAGAATATTTAATGACAAAGGAAGAGTAAAATGTACTGCTTATTCAAAACTTCAGGTTATAACTGCATGGTCATTATAGTTACAGCTTTTTAAAGTACATGCACACTTAGACTTGTTAAAAAAATGAAGATACATAGCACAATATCAGTAGTTCTCTATGACTGATGAAATCACAAGTATGTGTGCTTGTCTGCTGCTTTGTTAGCTCAGGCTGGCCTGGAACTCTCTATGTAAACAAGGCTGGCCTGGTATCCAGCATCCTCTTGCCTTAGCCCCCCATTGTGCTGGGGTTACAGGTGTGAACCACCATGCCTAGTTTACAGTTCTCACTTTTTTAAAAATTTTCTATCTTTTATCTATTTTCTCCAGTAAATTAAATGTGTAATATTTGATAGTTACATGTATAGCTGCAGTGTGTGGTTTTATTTTTATCATACTTATCTATTTAGAGTGGCACAAGGAAGGTCAGAAGACACACTGCAGGAACTGATTCTTTCCTACTGTGTGGGTTCTGGAGATCGACGCTGGTTGTCAGGCTTTGTAGCAGGTCCTTTACCTGCTGTGCCATCTCACTGACCCACCACAAGCATATTTTAAGAAATGCTGACTATTCAGTCCGTCTTCCTACTCATCTAAATTTAGGAGAATTTCTCACTATGTCAAGCAGTTCCAGGAGCAGCTTGTGTGACTCTGTCAACAGCTAGGACCAAAGAACTAACCTTCTCTTTAACATACACACATGACAAGGCCAAGGCTGTCCTGGTTGCTCCAAAGCTAGAGCAGAAAACTTCCTTGCCCAAGCCACTCACACTCCTGGGGTTGGACCAGTTCTAAATTATCCTGGCTCTTTATTGCTGCTTTCTTGGCAAAGTTTCTCCCAAGACAGCAAAAGCAGTGAAAGGGGTGGATACAAAATTAGCTTCATGTTAGGGACACAGAACTGTGGGTGTCACTGATTCTCACTGCGCCCATCCCCCATGCTGCTCCCCACCCACCCGTCCCAGCTACTCCTGTAACACGAAGAGGGTGGGCACTTGCCTTTGATCAACCGCTCCGGTCTGGTCCCTGGCAAAGTCCACATCGCCTGTGCCAAGTGTCCAAAGACAGTGGCGTCAAGAGTGGAAAGCTTGGGCCCCATGATGTACTTCTTGTCACCTGCAGCAAATGGAACAGAAAGGTCACTGGACTGGCCCACGCCGTCTAATATGATCACAAGGGCATTAAGCACATTCTCTTTATACAGTTGTTTAACTATGCACCAAAAACCTTTATCGAGTCAAAATACATGCATGCCCTTTCCAGAAAAAAAAAAAAAATGAACAAATGTCCTATGACACAACTCCCAAGGAAGCAAAGCATGGAAGGGTGCTCACATACACAAGGAATAAGGATGCTCCCAGAAAAGGGAATAATTCATCAACAACTAAATTCCAGAGAACCTCCTTGTCTCAACTCCAATAATAAAAAGACATGATGCTTACCAATACCTGGGAAGTTTGCTAGAACCTTCTCAAAAGTAATTTGCACCAAGCACCCAAGACCTCAATGTTTATAAGACTAGATCAATACGTTTGCCTAGAAATGAACAAAAAGCCTACGCTAAGGAGCTTGAAGCAAGGCTATCCATGATACTCCCAAGTACAGGACAACTGTTTTGCATAGAATGTCAGCTTCCCTAGGAAACCTCAACTACAGAGAAGATACAAGTTCACAGGTTCAGTCCCAGCATCAGGCCCTAGGCTCACACAACTGCCCTGTGTCTCTGCTTAACCAACACTGACGTCAAGTTCAGGCCTTGACAAGTGGACTATCACACTTGACTAAGAAGAACCGCCCAACTTGTTTTGTTGGCTGCTGTCAGGTACTGTGTAGCATAAATAGAAACTTCTTTTTGCAGCAGCCTGGAACCAACAGAAAGCCACAACTAGTCAAAATGTAGACAATAATTGGTCATGGGGTGCCCAGTCCCAGTTGATATGACACATCTACAATATAACCCCTATACCTAAAGCTCAGGGAACATCACAGAGGAATGACAAAAATATTTTAAGGGCCAGAGGACCAGGACTTCTGTTTCTAGACATGACAGGAAAGCTACAGCTATGAAATCGCCACAATATAGTTGACTATACGCTACCTGAACATCAACGAGGATGGGGAAAATGTCATAGGACCCCACCCCTAGATGAAGAGCTATAGGCAATTAACCACTGCTGGAAAAGGGAGAATTAGTCTTCTCCATGGCAGAGCCCCCTAATTGGTAATCCAACAGCAAGTGTTCAGCCCTCAAAACATACACATATAACCATACACATATACACATATCACCAAAACTAAATGGACTCAGCAAGTTTTATGAATTTATTCAAATATATTTGTAACAATAATAATTAAAGAAAAAGAGTTATTTTAATTGTTTAATTAAAATAACAAGAATAATTAAATTAAAATAATGAATTTGAGAGTGAATGGAGTGTGAAGACTTGGGAGAAGTTGGAGGGAGGAAAGGGGGGTAATTATCATTCACATATGTGAACTTTTTTAATTAATTTAATAGAGAAGGAAAACTGTCCCAAGTTGTCTTCTGGACTGTTGTCAAGTACTGTATCACAAAGAGGCCACAGTAGAATTGTGTTCACCCAGGTTACATCCTGACACACACTATTATCTGTCCTGATCATTACCTAACTTCTCAATGTTTTCCTGTCTGCAATAGGAGATGACATTAAGAATACTTTCTTGGGCTGGAGAGATAGCTCAGAGGTTAAGAGCACTAGTTGTTCTTCCAGAGGTCCTGAGTTCAATTCCCAGCAACCACATGATGGTTTACAACCATCTGTAATGAAATCTGGTGCCCTCTTCTGGCCTGCAGGGATGCAGGCAGAACACTGTATGAATAATAAATATAATAAATAAATAAATAAATGAATGAATGAAAGAAAGAAAGAAAAGAATAGAATAGAATAGAATAGAATAGAATAGAATAGAATAGAATAGAATAGAATAGAATAGAATAGAATAGAATAGAATAGAATAGAATAGAATACTTTCTCCTGGAGTCTGGGGATATATCTTAGTCAATGAGGTGTTTGCTTTGCAAGGACAGTAACTTAAGTTCAATCCCTACAACCCACATAGAGAAAAAAATGGTCTGGACACCATGTGCTTGTAACCTCTTTTCTGAGGAGATGGAACCTGGTTCGCTGGACAGCAAGCTGGGCCTATTTTGTGAGTATCAGGTGAGTGAGAGATCCTGTATCCAAAAAAAAGGGGGGGATAACACCTGAGGAGTGACACCTTAGGTTATTCCCTGACCTCTAGATGCCAAGCACAATGAGCCTGCTCCTCAAGACTACCGTGGGGATGTAAAAAGGCAAAACACTCTGCATCAGTGCAGAGTAACTCAATGAAAACTAGCTCTCTTGACGACAGACTCTCCCTTTCTTAAGTAAGTGCCTCATACCATATGAGTGTAATCTTATAAGGTCACAAACACTTTCAATGGCTTATTAAAGGAGTTGGGAAATAAAGTTCAGACTCAACTTGGAAGATGAGGCCTATGATACAGTGCTCCCAATCCAACCTGTACTCCAGTGAAACCCCTCTCTTCCTTTGCTCTAGTACCCCAAAGTTTTGTTCCCCAGCACATGTTATCTCCCGTTGCTACACTTCATATGCCATGCTCCACAATCTCTATGGGTTCCCATTTCTATCCATCAATCCTGTCTATCGTTGAGATTCATCACCAGCATCCTTTCAAAGCTTTCTCTCTTACTCTGCCCAGTGACAATGGGCGCTTTCAATTCACGCAACCTAAGGTCAGTCTCATTTCCATCCATGTAACTGCCCAGGACATAGAGCATTTAATGTCTATTAACATCATATTCCTGAACTATAAAGTGGGAATATTTTCATGTTATTGAGAAGACTCAGGTGACCCGAGCTAAGCACAAAGGAAATAAATTTGTTCCCCTCAGGCCCCTTACATAGTATTTTTCTCTGCTGTATATGCCCAGGTTGTCTTTTACTTATAGATTTTATCCTCCCAGTAGATGGAAAGCTCTCTGAAAGCAGGGGTCATTTCTTATTTTTACTTAATGAACTCTTGCAATGTGCTTTTATTTTCCTGGCATGGTCATATCCTAGAAGTATCCTTGAGTGGTGCGCTAAGGAGGCTGGACCTTTGATGTCAATGCAGAGGCCAAATAAGAGGGGAAACTTCTAGAGGAGGCAACACAAGGAAACAAGCCAGTAAAGACAAATGAAACTGGGAGATATTATTTCTTAAATTTTGTGTGCTGCCAGGCATGGGGGTGCAGCCCTTGAATCCCCATATTCTGAAAGGAGAGGCAGGAAGATTTTTTTGTGAGTTTAGGGTCTACACAGTGAGTTTCAGGCCAGCCAAGGATACATAATGAGACCCTGTCTCAAAAAAAGAAAGAGGGGGTGGGGAGGAAGGGAGGAAGAGAGTGGGAAAGGGAGTGAGCTAGAGAAGGAGGGAGGGAAAGAGAAGGGCAAGGAGAGGGAGAGAGAATGTCTACTATGTATTCCAAAGGAACCAAGGCATACCCCATGCCAGGACAATTTCTGAGGCCAGCCAAATTATCTTTTCTGATAAGGAAAATCAAATTTTCCTTGTTAGAGCCTCCAGTGTTTCTCAACGTCAACCAATCTCCATCATTTCCATCTTACTTCACAATTTAAGCAAATTACTCAAATAATAGGAAAACAGTGATATACTACCCAGGCAAAAATAACACACGTAGTAGGCATCATTCAATCTTAGGACTGTTACTTCTCTGCTTTTTAACTTTAAAAAACTCTCTCTTTAACTCTCTCTCTCTCTCTCTCTCTCTCTCTCTCTCTCTCTCTCTCTCTCTCTCTCTCTCTCTCCTACCCCACGTGTGTGTGGGAGGGCATGTACATGCATTTACTACAGAAGGTATGTAAGGTCAGAGGACAATCTCAGGTACCAGTCCTCACCCTCTACCTTGCATCTCTTGTTTGCCACTATGTGCACCTGGCCACCTGACCTACGGACTTCCGAGGAGTCTTCTGTCTTTGCCCACCAGCTCACTGTGGGAGCACTGACATTACAGACACACTCTATGACAGCTGGCTTTATGTGAGTTCTGGGGATCGGAACTCAGGTTCTCACTCTTGTGTGACCAGTGCTAACCCGCTGAGCTACCTCCCCAGCCCAGTTATTTTCTGATGGTAGTAGATCTTGCCTTCTCCATGCAGGGCTCTCACGCCATTCTGCTAGGGCAGGAGAGATCAGCAGATGACCCAAAAGTCTCTCCTATTGGATTGTGTCAGAGCTCCACCCAGTCACAGCACAACACACGGAAATGCTAGAGTGTATATTATGAAGTCTCTGATAAAAATCAAAGACTTTGATGACAAGATGGGAAAATGCATACAGATTAAACATTTAGAAAATCTAAAAATAGACCATGCTAATACATACAACATCTATATAATCATTTTAACCCATACACCAACTTGTGCACATGGTAGTTAGTCAAAACTATTTGGTCTCAGAATATTACAAATGGAAAGAAACCAAATTAACATCAGCACCAGACTAAGATGCTGGCACCAGAGCCTCTTGGGTTCTGGCCCAGTGTCCTTTGTCTCCCTAATATTATGTGCGCATCATCATCTCAGAGACAAAGACCCCAGAAACAACAAGGCCAATAGAGGCAAGAGAGAAAAGGCACAGATCAGGAAAAAAAAATCAGGGCAGAAATCTGAGAGATTTTAAGAAGGTGTTCATAAAATACATATAGATTGAGTTCAGTATCTGTGGAAAACCTTGAGCAGTACACACAAAATTGCATGTGTATGCTCACCAACACAGGACAGTTGTGAATTCAAATAATACAAAATATATCTCCTATCATTAAAAAGTCCTCAGAGTACCCACTAAGCTTCTGTTTTGAGGGGCTGGAGAGATGCCTCAGTGGTTAAGAGAACACATTGCTCTTATAGAGGACCCAAGTTCAGTTCCCAGCACCTGTCATCAGGCAGTTCACAACTACCTGTATGTAACTCCAGCTCCAGGGAAACCAACACGTCCAGCCTCTGTGGACATCTGCACTCACAAGCACATGCCCACACACGGATATGTACACCCATACATCTAATTAAAA